CCCCAAAACCCCAAAACCCCAAAACCCCAAATTACTTCTTAACAATTGTAATAATATTATTTTAGCAATGAAGTCATACTTAATCCTCTTACTCTTGCTTGTCTTTGTTACACAAGCTGACGATGAAACTTGCTTGCAAAAATTTAATACCTTATTGAGGTATAATACTTCAAACGACAAATTAATGGATGATAGACCCTACATCTTTCATGTCTCAATGGCGAAGCACACTCATGATTTAGGGAATTATCAGTTCTGTTCTGAGAATGGTTTAGCTCATAATTTAAAGTACTCGCTCCTTGCCTTGAGAGTCTCAGATATCAGAGGAAATGATAGGTTTGTCTACAGAGGAAATTGAGTTCCAGATACTTGAACTACTAAAGAAATAGAAGTTGCTTTTGAAGATATGATGATAAATCAATATAGAAGCACTTTTGAGGAGAGTAAAAATCTTACTACTACCTTCCCTCAAGAAGAGATTCCTTCTATAAATGTTGGAACCATATTGTTTCTGATCTTATGAGGAGTGATTCTAATCCTAGTAATCTTTGGAACCATTGTTGACAGGACTAGTTGCTTTGAAAATCCTGATTATCAAAGACCCATCTTCAACCCAGAACAAGATGAACCAATTGAGGATACATCAAATGATCATCTGAAAAAGACTAAAATGGGGAACTTTCTATCGAGTTTCAGTATTCCTAGAAACTTCAATAGGATCTTCTATGAACCGTTTGGAATGCAAAAAGAGCTCCGGATCTTTAACGGAGTGTATGTATACTCTCTCATCCTTGTAATCCTGAACAATACGTATTTCATCAGCTCTATGTATGGAATAGTTGAGACCTCCAGATTCTCTAAAGAAAGAGCCAGCATTTTCCATTTCTTTTTGCTCAGACTTCATCTTGTATACGAACTTTATTTCTTCTCAATAGGGTTTATTTGCTGCATTAAGATATGGTCAATGCACTATTTGACGAATTATAATGGTGTCATGTTCTTTGAAATTTTTAAACTGATATACAGGAGATGGTTCCCGATGGCATTTATTCTTCTTTATTCTGTGTTTGTATTCCAGTTTACTGGCAGTGGCCCTCTTTTTCAGTTCTGATATAACAACTGGATAATTGGAACTGAAGACTATCCTCATTGAAGCAGATATTGGTATGTTCCATTGGTCTTTGGAGCAAGCATTTTTAATCCAAATGTAGGCTCTCATTGACTTAGCTGGTTATGGATTGTCTCAAATGAAGTTATATTTTTCATCATTCTAATAGCTATCTTTTATCTTTACAGATTCAAAAGATGGCTAGGGTATGGCTTACTCATTTTCCTCATTGGGGCAAGCATTGTATCAACTTTCTTATTTGCTTATTTTTCTGATTTTATTTACAGAACAGAGGTATCAAGAAAGTATTCTGCTCAGCTAAAGATAAATCCTCTAAACTCGTCGAGCAGTTTCCTACTTGGTGTATTCTTTGCTCTAATGTGGTTCTCATATAAAAATGGAAGAAATGCCTATCATCAGATAGGTATTATCAACCAAATTTATTCAAAACTATTAAAGAAGAAATTATTGAGAATTCTTTTAATGATTGGAGGAGCAGTTCTTTGTATTGCTATATTTTTCATTCCCTTCCCATTATTCAATGCTGAGCAAGGAACTGTGAAAGCTATATTCATACAAATATTAATATCGATAGAGAGACAACTCTTCACTATTGGGATAATTCTGTTCCTAACTCCTTGAGTTCTTGGAAAAGCAAGAGCTTTTAGATCCGTTCTTGGAAACAGAGCCTTAATCCCTATAGCAAGATTGACAAATGCAGCTTTATTGGTACATGGAGTTATCTTAATGTGGTATTTCTTTGGAAAATATCAAATTCTTAGAATAAATGCTAGTGTGGTCAACATGTCATTTATAGCTCTATCTCTTCTATCTTATGTCACAGCAGTAGCCTTTGCTCTAATCATAGAAACACCTTTAATCACAATGGAGACTCTCCTTTGGTGCCCAAGAAAAAGAAGATATCTTAGGGATACTCTGGCGAACTTGGGAGATAATAGGTACGAGAGTTTTAAATCAGCCAAGCTTCAGAGAGAAAATGAAGACAACAGTGATAGTGGAACAAAAGACTCAAACAAAGAAGTACCTCTCTACCCAACCACTAAAATCAAAGACATCAAGCCTACGAAACTAAATATAATCAGAAGATCAAATTCTCTCGACGATGAATTAGACTCCAACTCTAAAAACCCTCCTTCCAAGACCCTCCTAAACGAAAGCGACGATTCCAAACCCTACACAAGTTTCAAAGAACCCTTCATCCCCAGTACTCAGTACTAAAAATTTCAATTATTCCCATTCCTAAAGGGGTTTTGGGGTTTTGGGGTTTTGGGGTTTTGGGGTTTTGGGG